CGCGGCCCCCCCTCCTCTGTGTCACTGCCACGTGCTCCCACGGCACCGGCACCGTCATCTGTGCTTGTGAACTAAAGGTGGGCTGACAAGTCAAACCGCGAGAGTGCCCTGTGGTTCTTTCAGTGTCAGCGTTTCCAGGGGCCAGGCTGGGACCACGCCCACCACAGGCCCACTGGCCCGGGGAACAGAGAGGGGGCCCTGTGGCTAGAAAGGAGCTGGTTATTTTAATGGATTGCTTTTTGGTCCGCAGCCCATGGCCTCCCTCCGGCTACTTCCCCGGGGGGCTGATGAGCTGCAACTTCTCGTTGGTGGCCTTCATCTTATTCCAGTCCTTGCGGTAGCCTTTTAAGGACATCTGCGGAAGGAAAGGGGGAGAGGGGAGAGGTCCCTTGGGAGATGGGCACTGTGACTAGTCAGAGCACAGCCCTGGATGGGGACCCGGGGGGCAGGGTGTGGCTGCCCAGGAGCGCCTGGGAGAGTCGCCAGCCCTTCGGGCCTCACGGAGCACCAGTGGTTCGTGGATCACTGGTTGGCGACCGCTGCTCTAAAAGAGCTTGTTTCTGGCCGGTGAAGCGAGAAGTTGCAGGTTCCTGCTGGGATGCTCTGCTACTTCTCAGCTTCAGGTCTGACGGGCCCAAGGCTGGCTCCCAATTTACTTCCTGCGGTGGGAAGCGGAGCCAGGGCCCAGGTGCGAAAGCGCGGCTGTCCTCTAAGTATGTCTTTTAGGAAACGTTCTTTTCCATCAAGTTTTTATTGATTTCAGAGAGGAAGGGAGAGGGAGCGAGAGAGAGAAACATCCACGATGAGAGAGAATCGGCTGCCTCCTGCACTCCCCCTACGGGAAGCACAGACTGAGCCAGGTCAGGTCGCACACTCAGTGTCATCTATGAACCAGAAGGCCAGGGTTTGATTCCCATGCCCGGGTTGCGGGCTTGATCCCCAGTAGAGGGCGTGCAGGAGGCAGCCGATCAAGGATTCTCTCTCATCGTTGATGTTTCCATCTCTCTCTCCCTCTCTCTTCCTCTCTGAAATCAATAATTTAAAAAAAAATTCTTTTTTAAAAAAGGAAAGTCATCCTTTGTTTCAATATAAGGCTCAAAGCAACTGTGGCGATTCCTCTCAGATGTTACGAGTCCAAACATCTGTATCTTTAGCTCAAAAACAAACTCGCAGACAAAAATGGGAAGGGCATGAAAGGCGGCCCACCCGGGGCCTCAAAAAAAACCTACCTCCGCGATCTCCACTTTCCTCTCCCAGACGCGGATGGTCTTCTCCAGGTCCCCGTTGAAGATCTTCTCCTTGACGTACGTCATCACGGGCGGCGCTCGGAACTCGGCCATCTGCCTCCGCAGCTGCTTGTTCAAAGCCTCGGCTTTGGCCCGGTCCTGGGTTGGGAAGGACCAAGTCACCCGGGATCCCCGCCGCACCTGGCCCACTGGGACTTGCTGGCCCTCCCATCTCTCCCCAGTTGCAGCGTAGTTCTGAAAACAATGTTTGACTTTTCAAAGGAGTGGGGGGAATCACAAAAAGCTCATTTTTTATAGATTGTGATGTTTTCATCCAGTTCAGAAACACCAAATACAGCTTAAAAGTCTCTTTTCCTTCCTCCCTCCCTTCCATCCCTTCCCTTTTCCTCCTTTCCTTCCTCCCTTCCTTCCTTCCTTCCTTCCTTCCTTCCTTCCTTCCTTCCTTCCTTTATTAAGAGAGAAACATCACCCTAGCTTGTTTGGCTCAGTGGATAGAGCCTCGGCCTGCAGACAGAAGGGTCCCGGGTTCAATTCCAGTCAGGGGCACATGCCCGGGTTGTGGGCTCGATCCCCAGTGTGGGGCGTGCAGGAGGCAGCCGATATATGATTCTCTCTCATCGTTGATGTTCTATCTCTCTCCCTCTTCCTTCTCTCTGAAATCAATAAAAATATATTTTTTAAAAAAAGAGTCCTCATACACAGTTAATACTCTATAAATGTTAACCATTATAAAGAAAAAAAAGAGAGCGAGAGAAACATCAATTGGCTGCCTCCTGCACACCCCCTACTGGGGATTGAGCCAGCGCCTCAAGCATGTGCCCTGACCGGGAATGGAGTGGAACCAGCGGCCTCCTGGTGCATGGGATGACACTCAGCCAACTGAGCCACACCCGCGGGGCCATGTCCAGTGTTCTTTTTTTCTTTTTTAAACCTCACCCGAGGAGTGAGGATATTTTTTCATTGATCTTTAGAGAGAGTGGAAGAGGGAGAGGAGGGGGAGAGAGAAAGAGGGTGGGGTGGAGAGAGAGAAACATTGACATGAGAGAGACACATCGATTGGTTACCTCCCGACTTGCAACCCAGGTACATGCCCTTGACTAGAATCGAACCTGTGATGCTCCAGTGTGCAGGCCAACACTCTAACCACTGAGCACACCAGTGGGACCAAGCCCAGTGCTCTTTATCCCATCCCCCACTTTCCTAAAAAAAAGTCCTCCTCGAGTCCCATCCTGGGTGCATTTAACTCGCAGAAATTCAACTTGATGCGCTCAGCAAAACACTGAGCATGCGCAGTCACAAGGTGGATGATGCCACATCTTTTCACACAGTGACCACAGGGCCCAGCGTGAGCCCAGGACGGAGGTCGGGTCTGCCGGCCACGCATCCGCCGACCCAATGGGAGCCAGGTGCCTCAGGGGCTCCCTCTCCTTCACACAGGACACTGCCCCTCGGGGTGTGTACTTTTTTCATATCAGTTACATCATTACAAACGTGTCATATTTTTTGCAAGGTTGTACATGCAACACTTTCAATATTTTATTTTATGGGGCATTTAAGGAATTCTTGAGGAGGATTTGGGCTCTACACGATTTCTCTACCTTGTGAGCTGACTCTAGGACCTAAGCCAGCAGCGGAAGGCCGCTCTGCTAGACTGCAAGCCTCCTGGTACCACTTTCTCCTTTGACGGCCCAGAGGCATTTTGATTTTTTTTTATGGTGTCGCCTTTTCTAAAAAATCAAGGTGGCTTGTCCTGGCTGGTTTTGCTCAGTGGTTGGAGCGTCGGCCTGAGGACCGAAGGGTCGCCAGTTCGATTCCCGGTCAAGGGCATGGATCTCTGTTGCAGGTTCCCCAGGCCTGGTAGGGGCACATGTGGGAAGCAACCAATCGATGTGTGTGTCTCTCTCTCGTCAGTGTTTCTCTCTCCCCCACCCCTTCCTTCTACTCTCTCTAGAAGTCAATGGAAAAAATATCCTCTGGTGAGAATTAAAAATAAAAAATCCAGGTGGCTTGGACCTTGGTGGACAATGACTCAAGCCCTTGCAAACACCAGAAGTGGCACATTTAACCCTCTCTTACCTCCTCCACTTGTAGGATTTCTCTTTCAATTTTTTCAAGCAGCTCGTGTCTCAGCAGGATCTCCTTCTCCAGATTGCTGGACATTTCCATTGCTCGGTGTAGCCTGGTCTGAAAGAGAACAGCACAGCCGGTCTTGAGCAGAGCTGACCACGGGGGGGGCGCCACCAAGGATGGGCGGCTCTTTGTGAGGCAGGAGAGAGGCAGGGCCATGGGACCGTGGCCTGCCCTTCTCACACGCCCAGGTTTTCAGCGTCCTGGTGTCTAGGTGGTGGGGAGGAGAGAGCCCTGGGAGCCTCATCCTCACCTGCAGGGGGCAAGATGCTGAGACCCAACTCCCACCCCACCACTTACTAAGTGTCCCTCTGCCCGTCCGACCGGTCACTAGGACGTGCACTGACCACCAGGGGGCAGACGCTCAACGCGGGAGCTGCCGAGCTGCAGTGACTTGGCAGGGGAGGTTCTCGGGTGACGCACCCGAAACCAGAGAGGAGGGAGCCCGATTCCTCGCGGGGCCTCGTGATTCCACCTTCGGCCGTGGGTTATGTTGTTGCTGGGGCGCTGTCAGCCCCGAATCTGGTTTCCTGCACACTAGCGTTTGCATAGAGGGATGTCGAAGAACCGGTTTCGGCCCGATCCCCAGCAGGCCAGGCTGAGGGACCCCACTTGACAGAGGGACCCCGCTCACTCCACAGACGCCTTTTGAGCCGCGGTGCTGCCCCAGGTGCGGCCGGCCAGGGAGGGACCACAGGAGGTTGGCTCCAGGGTGTGTCTGGCCCGTCTAGCCCAGTCCTGCCCTGCCAGCCACCTTCTAATTAATTTCCTTTCAATGTGCACGAATCCGTGCACCGGGTCACTAGTCCTCTAATGATAGAACAGAACAGCACCTGCTAACAGAACCCATGCTGTCCTCAGTCCTGGGGATTGGGCAGGTAGATATACTGGGGCGGGGAAGGGGGTCTGAGGGAACACCTTTGAGTTCTCCCTACCACAGGGCACCACTAGTTTACAGTCGGTGAAGAGTGACCTGGGAGGGTGAAGTGGGTCAGGAGGGTCAAGTGTATGGTAACGAAAGGAAACAAGAGTATACAGATGTTGAATTAGGATGTACATCTGAAATTGATATAATGCTATTAACCAATGTTACTCCAATACATTTAATTTTTAAACCCAGTTAATATCTACTATGCCTGGCCAGTGTGGCTCAGGGGTTGCGCATCGACCTATGAACCTGGAGGTCCCGGTTTGATTCCAGATCAGGGCACATGCCTGGGTGGTGAACTCAATCCCCAGTGCGGGGTGTGCAGGAGGCAGCCCATCAATGCCTCTCTCTCATCATTGATGTTTCTATCTCTCCCTCCCTCTCCCTTCCTCTCTGGAGTCAATAAAAATATATTTTAAAAATTAATATCTACTAAAAAAAGAAAGAGTGACACATCACAGCTGTCCTCAAAGGATGGTAACATGCCAGACCCCCCCCACCTCGGGGCTTGTGGGCACAAAGTTGGATAAAGCAGTGCCCCCTAGAGGGAGGCTCACTCCAAACTTGCAGAAGTGACCATGTCTGCCTCCTTCCCGGCTGTGCCCTCAGCACTTAGCCCTGTGCCTGGCCTTGTGCTCCGTCTGTGTGGTGATAGAGGAAAGTTAATCTGCGTGTTTTTGACAAGATCGCCCACGTGGTGTGTGATACTCACGTGGCGTGGTCCCTCCTGCCCCCCTCCCACCCCCTTAACACACCTGAAGCGCCAACAGCTCCTGGGACCATGGTAGCCGTGCACCTGCTGGCCAGGCACTGCCCTTGGTGCTGGGGGCACGGCACCGACCAGCCGGAGCCCCATGGCACACAGACCCACCTCCAAGACGGGAAGCATGGCGCAGGGTCCCCAGGGGAGGCCTGACCTCACCACGCACAGCTGTCTGCCTGCCTTCCCCCAAGGTGAGCTCTGAGCCGCGGAGGGAGTGGGCCCCTCGCTGTGTCCACTGCAGGGCTCCTGGGAGCGGCTCCATCATCTGCTGATGATTATCTGTCACCAGCGCAGTGGCCCCTGGGGTTCAGACTGAAACGGCTCCTGTTCTGCCCACCGCAGCCCGTGTCCCTGCTGCCCGGGTACCGAGACGCCGACCACCTGCACCGTGTGTTCAGACACGTCCCCACGAGCGCTGGCCAACCCACTGGCCAGGTTCATCTTATAAACCAGAAGTTCCACTCAGAGCCCTGGCCTTTCCCCACAAGATCAGACAGGCCCTGTGCTATGCAGCTGGGTGGGCAGGATAAGATCGAGGTCCGACGTGATGACGTGATGTAACCTCGTGCTGCCCGGCACCCCCCCAGCGAGGGCCTGGAGTCCGGAGGATGCTCCGTCTCCAAACAGCAGGGATCAGATAAGCCTATGATGGGCGAGATAAGCTCCAAGTGACGACCTGCTGGATGGTTACGACACCGTCGTGGGTGACGGAGTTTCAGAATCCAGCACCATACGGTCTGCACACCTCACGCCGGGGGAAGACACTGCTTCGGCGGGACAGGCGCTGGGCCAGGAGTCCCAGCGGGCCACACACTTGCTGTCTGAACTTGCAATTACCCTGCCTCTCTGGGCCTCGGAAAATACTGGATGAGCATCAGCCTAGTCTGAACACATTCCAAATCACTTTTTTAAAAATATATTATTTTATTGATTTCAGAGAAGAAGGGAGAGATAGAAACATCAATGATGAGAGAGAATCATTGATCAGCTGCCTCCTGCACGCCCCCCACTGGGGATCC